AAACTACATTCAGGACCCGTTCAGGGATACAAGAAAATCCATCCCTGGCCACTACCTGTCACCGAGGGCAATAGCAGCCTGGAACAGAGTCTAGCCTCTCTCTAGGAGATTGGTTCCAGAGCCCAAACGTTGCATTGAGGTGAGCCCCACCATATAAAGCCAGTATCTCAGTCTCATGCACAAGACTCCTTTCCCTACCAGAGGTGACCTTCCGTGTCCTGATAGCCAGCCTTGGTAGCCGGGGATTGGACCCCTGTCTGCTTCCCAACACACATTGCACCCGGACCTAACGGTGCCTCCTGTGGGTGGTGGGCCTACAGCAGGGCAGGCCCATGTCGCTGCTTCAAGCTGTGCCTGGCCAGGTCCCATGGGCTAAGGCCCAGCTCCCAGACACTCTCCCTCCAGCTCCATCCTCAGGCCTGGCTCCAGGGTGGGGTCCCAGCAATCCTATTCCAGACAGGGTACACTCGTCCGTTGGTCTTCTTTTATCCATAGCAGTCGACCGAATTGCTCTTTGTCTGGCCTCTCACCCAGGGCCAATTTGCCTTGGGAGACCCTACCAGGGAGCAACAAAGCCCCCAACAACATAGGCCCTGGGATCACTGGGACACACAAACCCCTCCACCACGGTAAGGAAGCGTTTCATGGAAGGACTTTTACTTCTCTCATTCCAAATTAATATTCCTGGTATCAAATATCACACACATATCGGGTGCAAAATAAGACACTTTTTCATTAAATTTAGTGTAATGCACAGTAAATTTCACTTTGAGTCAGAATGAGACAGGTTAGGTTCCACCAGGTGACCTCTGGGCAACCTTCAACTTGTCCCAGACAGCATAAAAATTCAATGTGACCGCCCAGCGGCTCCGGGCGTTCCCCCTCAGCCTCCTGGTAGGCGCACGTATGGTAAGAAATTTCCTAGGCAGTTTTCAGAAAAGTTGACCTGTGACCTCGACCTTGAAGACAACATCACTGAGACTCAAACTGCTCAGAGATTTTTAATAGATACACCTATGGTATCAATTTTAAAATCATACATCACCTCGTTTTATGTGCATCAATCTGTGCATTTTCCAATCATATAGACAAAAACAGCGGCTCAGAATCCTGGTATACTTAAAACTAAACATACCTCCTATGACAGCCGAGTTGCGATCCACACCATCACCACTGAACTTGTCCTCATTGAGGTTGAAAACAGCTCCAGCTGTGAACAAAGCAAACATCTGTTATCTATTTGAATCCTGAGAAACTGTAGAATTTTACAGTGGCGTGCCCCGATATATGCTGAAACCCTATGTCAGGGGTGTCCAACGCCAGGCATCAGGGCCGGTGTCCTGCAGGTTTTAGATCTCACCCTGAGTCAACACACCTGAATCACATGATTAGTTCATTACCAGCCTCTGGAGAACTTCAGGACATGTTGAGGTCATTTAAATCAGCTGTGTTGGATCAAGGACACATCTAAAACCTGCAGGACACGGCCCTCGAGGCCTGGAGTTGGACACCCCTTTCCTATGTTCTATGTGTTTCTACCACCTTCTATGTGCCAGGGGTCTCTGGCTGAAGCCATGGGGGAGATGGTCAGGGGGGAGGCTCCACAGTTTGAAGGAACCAGTATCCCATGGGTGCTGACAGGTGCTGCTATGCTGGAGCGCAGGGCAGCTTTCAGCGGTGCTACACTGTTAAACTGAACTCTTGACAGGCAGCCCATGAAACCCGGTGTGTTGTAGCGCTCGATCAGGATGGGGTCAATCTGGCCTGTTTCTAAAAGAAAGAGAAAGCAGCTTTAATTGTTTTTTTTATGGAAGCAATGCAAGTAAGCAAAATTAATTTATATAGCACTCTTTAAGACAAGAAGCTATAACAAAGTGCTTCACATGGGAATATAAAAGCATATCAAACAAAACAACATATCACACACAAACATTACCCAAATGTGTTTTAAGCTGTTTTTTAAAAGAAGCTACAGAGTCGATGGAGCGTAGCGGGGGAGGTAAACAGTTCCACAGGAACTAAGAGGTAGGAGGTAGGGTTTGAAAAGCGTGATCCCGCTTTGTTGTTAAACGTCTCCGTGGAATAGTCAGGAGACCACTATCATTGGAGTTGGAGAGTAGGGTTGAAGAAGCTCAGTGATATAGGCGGGGGCCTCGCCCAATGCAACTACGACTCTTTTTTGGGCCTAAAAGTTAGTCTTTAAATATTCACTGTGAATAAATATTTAAATATTTTAAATAACAAAAATAATATAATAACAATGTTTTAAATGTGTTTATTGTTCACAATCCAATAAACTTACCTTTTAAGGTTAGGTTTTAAAGTTAAACCCTCCCTTACATCATCAGAGCCCTGTACTA